TTGTTTTTCTTTTTTAATATTCTATTTTGTTTTAGGTGAAAGTTTACAGAACAAATTAGTTTCCCATTCAATAAATTGTATACAAAGTGTTTCTTGACATTGGTTGCAGTCCCCACGCTGCCAGCACTCTCCCCATTTCTGCCCTGGGTTTACCTCTTTCTTTCGTCTGGTTTTCCTACCCCTTCCAGCCTTCTCATCTTTACTGTTGGGCAGATGTTGCCCTTTTGGTCTAATATAATTGTTTGCTCTACAGAGCATGTTCTCTTCAGGTGTTAGGGTTTATTTTATAGGCCTGTCTTGTTCGGCTGGAAGGTGGTTTCCAGGAATGGCTGCAGTTCCAAGTCAGGGGGTGTCTTAGGGCCACAGTCCTGGGGGTTCCTCTAGTCTCTATCAGGCCAGTAAGTCTGGTCTTTTTTTATTAATTTGATTTTTTGTTCTGCATTTTTCTGCTGCTCTGTCTGGGACGCTCTATTGTGATCCTTTGGACTAATTTCTCCCTTGACTCTTTCATTTTCTTCACTCTCCTTTGATTCAGATGGGAAGAGACCACTAGTTGTATCTTAGATGGCCATTTGTAAGCTTTTAAGATCCCAGACAGTGCTCACCAAAATAGGATGTAGAACATTGTTTTTATACACTATGTTGTGCCAATTGACGTAGATGTCCCCTGAGTCTATGGTCCTTAGCCTTCAAGCATAGTATCTTCATCCCAGGAGGTGTGTGTGTGTGTGTGCATAAGAAGTTTCCATCACTGTGCCCCCTTGTGTGTTGTTGTCTATATTAGTATACACACAACATCTACAAATATATATGTAGCAGTATCCACAACCTAACCTATACTGCAGGTGGGTGCGCTCCCTTACACCCTCCCACACCTCTTTAGCATACCTCTCTACCTGTGTATCCCTTTGTAAATTATTGTTTGTTAATATTGTTGCAGGATTGTCTATGTTATAGTAATTACCGTAGTTGCCCTTTGTTCTTGTGTTCCTTTCGGTGTCTTCCTTTGCCTTTATCATGCTGTACTGATTTCCCCCATATAGTCTATTGCCTTTCCCTTTACCAGTATTACCACGTGTCTTCTGTTTTGTAATTTACCCTCCCTCCTCTTCCCTTCCCTGATAACTATCAAAGAATTCTTTTTTCTGTATGTAAACCTTTTCTTGTTTTTTTATAATAGTAGTTTTATATACAATATTTGTCCTTTTGTGATTGGCTTATTTCACTCAGCATAATGTCCTCCGAATTCATCCATGTTGTGAGATGTTTTATGGATTTGTCATTATTCTTTATCATTGCGTAGTCTTCCATTGTGTATATATACCACAGTTTATATATTCATCCATTGATGGGCACTTAGATTGTTTCCATCTTTTTGCTGTTGTGAACATGCTGTAGTGAACATGGGAGTGCATGTGTCTATTCGTGTCACGGCTCTTATTTCTCTAGGGTATTTACCTAGCAGTGAGGTTGCTGGATCATATGGTATTTCTATTACTTGATTGGATTTTGCACTTTTTTTGTTTTTCTTTATTTTGCTCTTAAAGTATTTATTTCTGCCTAGGTATGAGTGTCTTTGACCTTGACAGAATCTGTATTTGTTTTGTTTGTTTGCTTTGATTTTGGGTTTTCAAGACCATATAACTCTTAGATATTATAATGATATCCAATTGAATTCTGGATAGCTCTCTGGCTTTATGTGACTTAGAGGTCACAATTTCTAAGCATATCTAAACTGATTTAACATATCCTAATAGCATACTCCATTTGAGCCCAAACTCCTTAGCTTATCTCACAAAGTCATCAATGGTCTCACTCCCTACGCTTGAAGCCTTTTTATGAAGTTTACCACATGATTAAGTACTTGGCTACTAACTGAAAGGTTGGCGGTTTGAACTCACCCAGTGGTTCCACAGGAGAAAAGACCTGATGATCTGCTCCCCTAAAGATCATAGCTTAGAAAACCATGTGGGGCAGTTCTACCTTGGTTACATGGGGTCACTATGAGTTAGAATCTACTCCATGGCACCTAACAATAACAACAGCCCCATGGTACTCCTCTAACTTTATACTCAGAACTCCAAAATGCTTCCGTGCTTCTGAACATACAGTTCCTTTGCCTGAGATAGCCAGTCTTCCCATTCATTTCCACCACCCTGGAAACTCCAACTGTCCTTCAGGACATAGCTAAAGTTTCTCTTCAGTGAAGCCTGCCCTGGGCACTCTTTCCCCCAGGGAGAGTTATCCACTTCTCCTCCTCCTCCCTGCTTTTGCATTTGTATTTGTTGTCTGTTTTTAACTTACAGGCCTACCATACTCTGCTTAGTTCCTTGGATTCTCTTATTACTCTTTGAGTCCTAATGGCCACCCCATAGCAGGTGCTCAATAAACATTTGTTGACTAAATAAATAAAATGAAGTGAATTTAGTAAGTACCTGTCACTTGTAGACTGAATTGCTCCCACCTTCCTGTACCCTCCCCCGCCCTGCTTACTGCCAGCCACTTCCAATCTCTCTGGTGCTGTGCTGGCCTCTTGGTTTTCCTCTTTAACCAGGCCCCACTGGGTTTGCCCAGTAGTGTTTCTGCAGTTTCCTCCACTCTGTCCCCCATGCACACTACAACACTACACCCACTTCCTTGTGACTTTCCTTATTTTGTTACCTGGTAGCTTTGCTTTTAATTCTTCTTCCTAATTCAAGTGCAGCTTCTTCCATTGAGCCTTCGCTTATATTCACACCCCTGATGATTATCAGTTCCTTTGGTCATATACTCACACTCACTGATTTGTACTGTCCTTTGTTTCATGCCCCTGTCCTCCTAGCTAGGTGTCATATGGAGTTAACCACCAGAAGAACTAAAAACTGAATCGATCAAAAGTGGTTGCCTTGGCATGAATCCAAAAAACAGAAAATAACAATGTTAGAGAGGCTGCGGAGAGATTGGAACTCATATGCAGTGCTATTGAGAATGCAAAATGGTACAACCATTTTGAAAGTTGATATGGCGCTTCCTTAAAAAGCTGGAGATGGAAATACCATATGATCCAGCAATCCCACTCCTAGGAATATATCCTAGAGAAGTAAGAGCCATCACACTAGTAGACATATGCACACCCATGTTCATTGCAGCATTATTCACAATAGCAAAAAAATGGAAACAACCTAAGTACCCATCAACGGATGAATGGATAAACAAACTATGGTACATACACACATGGAATACTACGCAACAATAAAGAACAGTGATGAATCTATGAAACATCTCACAACTGAATCTGAAGGGCATTATGCTGAGTGAAATAAGTCAATCACAAAAGGACAAATACTGTATGAGAGCACTATTATAAAAGTTCATGAAAAGGTTTACACACAGAAAAAGATGTTTGATGGTTACGAGGGTGGGGGGAGGGGTCCTGAGGGAAAAACACTAGACTATAGATAAGTGGTAACTTTGGTGAAGGGTAAGACAGTACACAGTACTGGGAAGTCAGCACAGCTTGACCAAGGCAAGGTCATGGAAGCTTTATAGACACATCCAAACTCCCAGAGGGACTGAATTACTGGACTGCGGGCTGGGGACCATGGTCTTGGGGGACATCTAGCTCAATTGGCATAACATAGTTTATAAAGAAAATGTTCTACATCCTACTTTGGTGAGTAGCATCTGGGGTCTTAAAAGCTTGTGAGTGGCCATCTAAGATACTCCACTGGTCCCACCCCATCTGGAGCAAGGGAAGATGAAGAAAACCAAAGACACAAGGGAAAAATTAGTCCAAAGGACTAATGGACCACAGCTGCCACCACTGACTGCTCTGACAAGGATCATAATAGAAGGTCTTGGACAGAGCTGGAGAAGAATGTAGAACAAAATTCAAACTCACACCAAAAGACCAGACTTACCGGTCTGACAGAGACTGGAGAAACCCCAAGAGTATGGTCCCTGGACACCCTTTTAACTCAGTACTGAAGTCACTCCTGAGGTTCACCCTTCAGCCAAAGATTAGACAGGCCCATAATGCAAGTAATAATACATGTAGCTCAATCATGTATACGAGACTAAATGGGCACACCAGCCCAGGCGCAAGGACGAGAAGGCATGAGCAGATAGGAAAGCTGGACGAATGGAAATGGGGAAACCAAGGCTGAGAAGGGGAGAGTGTTGACATGTTGCGGAGTTGGCAACCAGTGTCACCAAATATGTGTATTAATTGTTTAATGAGAAACTAATTTGCTCTGTAAATCTTCATCTAAAGTACAATTTAAAAAAGAAGTGGTTGCCTTGGAAAGCAGAACTAGAAATCACTATTAATAACAATAAGAAGAATATTTTCTAATAGCTAATGCTTATTTGGGAAACCCTGGTGGCATAGTGGTTAAGAGCTATGGCTGCTAACCAAAAGGTCAGCAGTTTGAATCCACCAGGCAGGCGCTCCTTGGAAACCCTGTGAGGCAGCTCTACTCTGTCCTGTAGGGTCACTTTGAGTCGGAATCAGCTCGATGGCAACAGGTTTGGTTTGTTTTTTTTTCTTAATGCTTATTTATGCCAAGCATTTCTAATCACTTTGCATCATTTGTATTACTTAAGTTTATTGTGTTTTATTGTAAATACTCAGTATAACCTTCAAACAGTATTTTTTGCAAACATCTTTAAGCTGAGAACTCTGTCTTCATGGGAAATTGTATCAGAAATGCCCAGTTTAAAAAGCACAGCTCTATAACATAGCAAATGTTTTTAAACCTAGTTAGCTAACTTCATATCAAAGTCTGAAATTTAATAAAACTGGTTAGGGAACCCCTTTGCATTCTTCAGCTACAGTGGGAGAATCTGGCTTCCTTTTTAATACAATTAACAGACTTTTCTTCCCTCACCTCAATGTTTCCTGCTGAGGCCGACAGTGAAAGAACTAAGATAAATAACCATTAGTAACATTCAGCTGGGTATTAAAGCATTTTCTGTTGTCCTTCTTCTTGCTCTGAAGTCCTTCCTTTTTTATTTTTCAGAACACATGTGCACTGTGGTCTACTTTGATGACTGCATGTCCATACATCAGTGCAAGATATCCTGTGAGTCCATGGGGGCGTCCAAGTACCGCTGGTTCCACAACGCCTGCTGTGAGTGCATCGGGCCCGAGTGCATCGACTACGGCAGTAAGACTGTCAAGTGCATGAACTGCATGTTTTAAAGAAGGAAAGGAAATGCGAAGTGAAGCAAGTTTGCCAGAAAGAAAGGTATGAAGTTATTCCATGAGGTGAAGAAGAAGCTACAAAAATTTCGGATGCGTTACTTTTAAAATACAACAAAACTAGTAATTTGTTAAATGGTATGATTATAGCTGCTGTTATTAACCTTATTGTCCACTAGCAATAAAGCCTTTCCTTTGATCCGTTGAATCTGTACAACTTTGGTCATATAAGGAACAGCACATAGAGAATTCCTTGAAGGGTCTGAGCTTCAAATGTGAAGACTAATGCTGTGTTCTTGTAGCATTCCAAAGCCCTTTGTTTTCAAAGTGTTGGCAGAAGCGCGTTCACGTAAGTTACGGTTTGTTCAGTGTACTCCTGAGGTGCTGAGTTTTCATAGCTGTATGCCATTCTTCACTGTGCCTTTCATGGTTTACCTGTTTTATAAATTGGGTACAATACCCAAATATATCACTCTGAAAGATCACCATAAAAAGCTTAATTTCAAACCATGTTCTGTTGGGTTTAGAAAGGAAATGTTTACTGTATTTTACAGTTTAAAACTATTACATGGTAGGATCCATCCTGTAATGCACATACTGACAGAGCTTTAGGAGAACATTCTCATTCTCTTCCGTTCTCCCTGCCCAGAATGCTTATGTGGGTCACATGAGGAGGCGTCGTCACTAGGAACATCAGGGTACATCTCTGAAACTGCATTAAGTACACTACTAGGGTAGGTAATCAGGACACTAAAGCATTGCTTGTGACTTAAAGTACCAGCTTAAAGAGCGCTGGGGAAGGGAAATGACTGCCACGTCGGACGGTAACGAGAGTACCAGTGACCAGCTTGTCCCCCTGACGCTGTGCGGCAAGGTGAGGGTGCACCCACTGGACGAACCAAGCCTGAAAAGTGATAGGAGGGGACTTAAGGGAAGTTATGGCTATGAACAGCGAGGGTTAGAAATTCTGGGAATCACCATAGGAAACAAACTCGGAATGACTGACATTTTTTATTGTGTAATCTGTCATTTGTTAAGTTTATATCTGGATCTAATGTTCTTATCAACCAAGTGTAATTATATAGTGGGATGTTAAAATTATGAAACTAAACAAAAACTCTGTTCAAGATGACAGTTGTTTCCAAATACACTACAGAGTATTTTGTCAGCTTTTCATACAGTTTCAATAAAGATAAGCTTAAACACTATGTGCCCTTTCTAGTAATAAAATTCTACTCTTCGAACATGAATCTAAAACATAAATATTTATATTACAGAGACTCTTAACTATAAAATTACTAATTTCTGTAGTGCATATTTGAATTACAAGTAACTTTTTAGGAACACATTTATATGTCTAAATATTTGAGTATATACAAATAGGTAATGCTCTTGGATACATTTTGTATTGTTGATTATCTAAACAGTAGTTAAAGTTCATATGTAATGTTATGATTAACTGTTATAAAATGTAAAGCCTTGATACCTTTTCTGCCCTTTCAGTTAACTGTAACAAATACAGTCAAGGTACTTGAGCCTCTTAAAATGTTACAATTTAGCTCCTGAATGTATTTTTAATAGGAAAAAATTGGGGGTTTTTTTCTGACTCTTAGGTAGAGTACCTCCTTAAAAGTGCCTTGAAAATGTTTTAGTTCCCCTTCTTAATTAATATGTATAAAGCTGAGAGTTTTCTTAAACTTAGAAAAGAGAAAGTTTTAAAAGAATTTGTAGTCGACTGCTTCCTTTCAACTTGGCTTTTCCAAAGTAGTTTCATACCTGTGAATAGAAGGATGTTTTCGTGTTTATTGACAACATGCTTTTTATTTCCTTAAATATGTCAACAGACATATTTTTAAACTGGTATTTGTCACCCTTTTTAGGTCTTCCTTATTAAATTTTGAAATGTAGTATTTCTGTTTCTCCCCCTATGTTGGGAGAATGATTTCTTGAACCACGTTACGTTTTACTGTTTTCTTACCTCTGTTTCTCCCATTAGACATTATCCCTAAGTGTAGTGTTTTTTGATATTCAAAGTTTGCTTAATTTTTGTGATTTACAAAGGGGTTGAAAGAAAGACAGAAATATGGTATGGTCTGTCATATAAAAGATTCCATTTCCAGTTCTGTAATGGTATTTGTATTTTGCGTAACAACATTTTTCCAATTTAAAAGTGTAATATTGGGGACACCCTTAGCTTCACTAAAATTTAGAGCTACTATTAACATCCTAAGGAGCCCTGTTGGCGCAGTGGTTCAGACACTTGGCTGCTTACCAAAAGGTCTGCAGTCCGAACCCACCAGCCGCTCCGAGGGACAAAAATGTGGCGCTCTGCTTCTGTAAAGACTACAGCCTTGGAAACCCTGTGGGATCGCTAGGAGTCGGAACTGACTCGCCGGCAGTGGGTTGGTTTATTAACATCCCAAAGCACAATTAATTCACTTGTGTATTGAAGCTTTGGTTAAAAAAAATTTTTTTTCAATAAATTTTTATAACCAACCCCCACTTTCAAAAAAAAAAAAAACCAGTAGATTTTTAAACCAGTAGCTCTTATAAAGACCATTTTGAAAAGGTTCTTTCCTATAGTAAGATGTGTACTTGCTGGTGGGTTTTCTCTTTTTTTTTCTCCCCAACGTCTAATTACTGAAACTGTACTCATCATAGTGGTACCAAATCAAATGATAATTTAAATCTAGTCTTTGTTTACACAGAAAGCAATGAATTAAAAGGGAGGGGACTTCCTTTAGAAATGTGACTTCTAAAGTTTCAGAAAACAAAATTTATGTTAGAATATTTGAACAGTTATTTATGAATCAGAGAGTAGTATCAAAATGGAGAAGAGAAACCAAAACTTTTCTGGGAAAGTAGGTAAATAGAAGTAAGCCACGTTTTTAAAGTTTGTTTTTATGAAAGCCTCTTTGAAGAGTTTTAAAATCTATTCTGCATTCCCAAGAGTGTATGTTTAATGCGTTTCACATGACCTGTAATATAAAATTGTGAATTTTTCTTTGGTTGTCCCTATAAACCAAAAAAAAAAAAAGTATTTTAATAAAACGTTGAAATGCGTAATGAGTGCGTCATGTTTTTTGTTAATTTCAGCCTATTCTTGTCGTTGGCTGCTGTTGAGTCAGCCCCTGACTCATGGAGACCCCATGTGACAGAGAAGAACTGCTCCATAGGGTTTTCTTGGCTGTAATCTTTACGGAAACAGATTGCCAGACCTTTTTTTTCAGAGTCTCTGGGTGGGTTCAAACCTCCAGCCTTTCGCAAACTGCTGGCGCCACCCAAGCTCCTAATTTCAGCATAGAACACCAAAGTAAGTTTGGCATTTCTCTCTAGTGAAGCTAAGGTATCAGCCAAAGCATGTCCTTCTCTCTCTGGATGTCCCGACCATAAAAAAAAACAAAAAACATTGCCGTGAAGTCGATTCTGACTCATGGCAACCTGACAGATTTCTTTTGAAACAAGCGGTCTTCTTTAACAGGTTGTTCTCTGCTTTTCATATGCTTAAGTCCAATGTAGGGGAAACTTTGACATGAACTACTTAACCTTTCTCCTTTCTCTGGGGACCTTCCGAGGCCAACCAACTCTACGAGAACTGTCTCATGGTTGGAATGGGTGACAGGAAGATCAAGTCAGAGAGATGACCTTCCAGCCCTTCACAGAGATTCTCACAGGGTCATATTCTATTAGAATTGGAAGCCATAGGCTGGACCATAGTGGTAAAGTCAACATTATTTCACAGAATCTGCATTTTGACAGCCTAGTGAATGTAGAGGTCTCTAACGAGGGGAAAAATTCAAGGACAGATTGCCAGCCTGAGTGCCTTAGGAGAATGATGGATCTGAGGAGTTCAGGAGGTGGAATTTGTTCCAAGGAGAGACAGTATGTTTTATTAGGAAAGTGGCTGATTTGCTACTGGTGTCCAAATGCTCGAGAGTCCCGTGGACCTGAAAGTGAGAAGCTGGAGCTGGAGATGCAGAGCTGGGAGGAGAATGACCTGGAAGAGACCTGAGGACGGGGGGCAGCACCTGTGGGTGCTCACCCTGTCAGGCGACTCCAAACCCTGCAGACAGCACCGTTAGCTTGTGGGTGTTAGGAATTACAGCTCCTACAAGATTCAGCTTTTTCCTAATCAATTAAAAACAAATCCATTTACATGCTTTTATTTTAAAGTCTGTGCTTCAAGCGTGCAGTCAGCAACAGCTCCAAGGTTCAGCTTTGGAGATGAAGATTCTCAGTGCAGAAGTAACGAAAGACAGGTTTCTAGAGTTCTTCTTCCAGAGTGAGCCTGGACAAGCACAGGACCTCACGCTAGTCAGAGCGACAGAAATCCCAGATTTGATTAAACTCACTCACTGAAATACCTGTAAGGCAAAAATGATTGCATTTTCTGCCCTCCTAACTGACTTGCTTCGCGCCGCAGCTGAGGTAACCCAAAACAGCTGAGACAATAATTTGTGTTTCCTTCTCTGTTCTTTCCCACGCCCCTGCTGCTTCCTACCCCAACCCCCAATTCCAAGGGAATAGACCCCTGGGCCTCCCAGGTTTGAGTGCCCAGTGGGAAGGAGGATGTAGCAGACAACCTGCCTTTTGTTTTCCAGAAGGCTTACCTCCTCCAGGGGGTTTGGCTGAGGGGAGGGAAGAGGCTCAGGTGGGAGAGGAGCTGCCCCAGCTCCTGGGCAGGCCCAGACCAGCCAGCGCTCTAGGACCACCTGAGGGTCCCCAGGAGGCCTGGCGGGGCTCGGAGCTGCCTCATCTCGGTGTTTTAACCAAGGACTACCAGTAGTCCCGCCTCCTAGGCTGAAGTGACACTTCGCACACTTGGGTTTGTGGAATGACTAGATTCCCCAGCCTCGCACAGTCCGAGCCGCTGACCCCTCAGCCGCATCCCAGCCTCTCTCCTTCGGCACCCCATATCTCTGTTGCAGGGGAAGAACATAAAATTTAGTAAAGCAAAAGAAAGTTTTATTTGGCATATATTCAAAAGGGCAGAAGTGGGAAAATGGACAAGCATGCTGCTAGAGCCATGTCTGCCCAAGTCCAAAGAATATTACAGAATAGGCAAGAATGGGAAAATGGACGAGCATGCTGCCACAACCATGTCTGTCCGAGTTCAAAGAACAGTTACAGAGCCATCAGTATATATTAACATTACAAATGGGCAAAACCACTGAAAGCTTAGCCTTTTCAGATTGGCTAGAAACTGATGCTACGTTTTGAATTGTCTTTCTTAACAATCATTGGTACAGGTTTCAGTGATGACAGTCAGGAGGGTCTTCATTGGTCCAACAAATTTCTATTCACTAAATGCTAATAGAAAAAGATAAGAATGGAAAGTCTTTTGTGTTCTGTTTGATTGGCTTTATGTGAAAATTACCCTAAAAGATATTTTCCAAGATTATCTTAGCTATTGCCTTTATACCTCAGGGCCCAGCTGATGTGTCCTTGTGAGTCCTTGTGAGCTCAGCTCCAGCTGGGTCGCATTCTCTGTGCTCAAGGAGAGGGAATAAATGATTCTAATACTATTTCCTAAATCACCTCTTGCTCACCCACTCGGCCCACCCCACAGCACCTATATTTCTACCTGTGCTTCCACGTTGGCCGCTTCCTCTGCTGGGCTGCTTTTGATCCAGATCCCGGTTCCTGGTCCTCTTGCAGTCTCAGCTCACTGTCACCTTGTTGGAGAGGTCTTCCCTGAACAACATTCCTAAAGTGGCAGCCACCTCTATCCCATTAGCTGTTTCAGTTCTTTTAATAGCTGGTAGCTCTCCAGAAGTATTTATTTGTAGTTACTATTTGTCATCTGTTTTCCACTAGAATGTGAGATTAGAGGATAGGGCCTTGTTCCTTTTGTTCATCACGGCCCCAAACACAGCACCCCAGTGCCCTAAAGGGTCCAACACTTGACAGGCACAAAATATTTTCTGGATGGATGGATGAATGATATTGGTTCCTACCACGCTTCTGCTCCTGGTCACCCTCAGATAAAGCCCGGCTGCTCGGCAGGCATCGGGCCCTGCAGCCTGGCCCTGGTCTCCTCCAAGCTGGCCTCTCCACATCCCACCACCTGGGCTGCGGTCCCCATGAACTGTTCCTTAGTAAATGCTGCTGCTTCATCAGCCTGGAGCGCCCTTCCCTCTGTCTCCCTCGCCCCTTTCGCTGACTGACTCACCAGGGTCTCAGCAGGCACTGGTGCTTTATACTCTTCAACCCCGGGGCATGCCTCTCCAGCGTCTCACCCTGAGTCATAACCCTACTCAGGAGGTGACCCTGCGCCGTTGGTTGCCACTTCCCTCCTGGCGTCCAGGTTCTGAGCATTGCTCATGCGCCTTTCGCCATGTGGCTTAGAGTCTTTCTGGATTGCTGAGCCGCGGGGCATTCTAGGGAGACCCGGGCTTCTCCAGCAACCGTGCGGACCATGCATGTTGTTGATGTAATTTTTTTGGTGTTCTTGAGGGCAATTTTTATTTGCAGAAGATTATTCAAAGGTTAATTTTTGTTTTAAAAATTAATGTTTAATTTACAAAAGCATACATCTAGTTCTTCCATAAGCTTTCAAAACCCAGTTTACAGATACTATTTCTGCCTAGTAATCTAAGAATCTATATCTAGCAATCACTTTCCCAGGGTCTTCAGTCAGTGTTTGCTGAGTATTTATGTTGCTGTTATTAGCTGTGGTTCAGGGTAGAATTCTCACAATCCATACTGAAGACCCGGGTTCAATTCCCAGCCAATGCACCTCCTGCGCAGCCACCACCCATCTGTAAGTAGGGACTTGCACGCTGAACAGGTTTCAGTGGCTCTTCTAGATGGACTAGGAAGAAAGGCCTGGTGATCTGCTTCCAAACATCAGCCAGTGAGTGGATCACAACAGTCCAATCTGCACCCAGTCTTGGGGGTGGCGCAGGACCAGGCAATGCATGAGGTTGCCATGAGTACTTATGCAATTAATAAACTCACAAATAAGGTGAGCCTACTGAAAGTTCGAATTCTGCACACAAACCTGGTAAGACTTCAACTTAAAATCAAGTCTAATTCAATTACTCAATTACATATTTTTATATCGAAGTTACAAAGCTATGCTCTAATAAATCAAATCCTCTGCAACATTGGAATATGTCAGTTCTTACCACAACAA